TATTCGTTTGTCCTTATATGCGTGTTTTATCTTTGTGTTGGGGGTAGGGTCACGAAGAAGAAGGGGGTCTCAATCCACCTGACGTTGCTGCTCCTGAAAAGGTAATTTGTCATTTTCTGGAAGGGGGTTTTATTTTTGGTTGAGCGTGTGTACAGTGAATTTGGGGGGTGTGTAGTGTGGTTCGTATGTGTTTGCGTGCCAGTTTGTGCGTACAGAGCTGTTACTTAGTGCATACTATTTTTTTGTGGGGGGGGGGGGGGGGGGGTGTGTGGGGTGTTGTGGTGGTCATGCTATTGGTGTTGTGTTTGTGTTTGTTTTGTAATGGATAATTTTGGCAAGGGGGTGGATTTTTTGCTGGTGATGTGGTTTAATTATTTCTTCCAAGTATGCTATGCGCGTAACTGATTCGGCGGGGAATGCAGTATACTATATTGTTTTGTAGCTTTACGTACTGTGCGTTTATGCGTATAAAGTCTTCAATTAGTGCGTACTATTAGTTTTGTTGGCACGGGTCTGGGGGTTTTGGGTGTGTGGTAATACTGTTTGTTTTTACAAGTATGTTATATGCGCATGGGGGCAGAAGGTGAGTGCAGTACAATATAACCGAATTTGTTTCTATGATTAGTATGAGTTTGTGCGTTTATAGCCCATAATTTGTGCGTTTTACTATTCCGTGTGTGTGTGTGTGGGGGGGGGGGGGGGGGTTGTGGGTGGTGGTCATGCTATTGATGTGCTTAACTGGTTCGGGTGTGTTTTTGTTCCGTAATGGGCTTCTTTTTTTTTTTTTTTTTTTTTTGTAATGAGGTTGGCATGTGTCCGTGTTTATGGGTTGTGTGGTAATACAGTTTGTTTTTACAAGTATGCTATATGCGCATGGGGCAGAAGGTGAGTGCAGTACAGTATAACCGTGGTGTTTCTATGATTAGTATGGGTTTGTGCGTTTATAGCCATTATTTTGTGCGTATTGCTATTCTGTGGGGTGGGGGGTTGGGTTTGTGTGGTTGGTGGTCATGCTATTGATGTGCTTATCTGGTTCGGGCGTGTCTTTGTTCCGTAATGGTTTTTTTTTTTTTTAATGAGCTTGGTTTGTTGCAGGTAATGTTGTTTGGTTTTTGTTTTATTCTTGGACAAATACGTATGTGCATACCGGGGGGGGGGGGGGGGGGGGGGAGGTGAATGCATTATAGTATAAACATGTGTGCCTTTACCTATTGTTGGGTGGTAGCATGCTGTGTGCGTGGGGGGGTATAGTGGTGGATGCATTGTCGCATAATCGCAATTTGTGTGTTGATGCAGACGGTGGCTGAGATTTATGCTGAAAAGACCGATGCAGTAGCTGCAGCTCTGGAGGACATGGTCCACTTTTTGGAACACCATGATGACCACCCAGGCCCGACGGATGGCTTTCATAGGGTTGTTGTAGGTGCTCGGAAGATAATTTTGCTGGCTGATCAAGTTGGGTCCACTAGTGCGGCTCCGTCTGCTAGTCCGGGAGGGGCTGGTGTGCTCAGCGATGATGATATCTGGGACAACCCGGAGAACTTGCAGACGGTCGATGCGGTTGTTAGTGTCGTTCAACAGAAGTCTATAGTCGAGGAAGTTCCACCATCTGGTGCGGGGTTGGACCAGCAGGATCCCATTGTGCAGCAGGCAGATGCGGTAGGTGGTGCGGGTCAGTGCGTTGAGGTTGCCGGTGATGCTCCGCGTGAGGCGGGGGCTAGAGGGGGTAGGCCCAATGCTGTAAGTAAGGTTGTTCGCCGGCGTAGGAAAAAAAGGCGTTATTAGATTTGATGTGGTTGTTCTAGTATGTATTTTTTTTTTTTTTGATTTATTTTGCTAGTAGGTGTTGGGGTGGGTTGATGTGTTTTGATGGCATGAATGGGATGTGGTTGTATCTTTGAGATGTTGGTAACTTTGTATATTTTTGGTACTGCACGGTGTTTATGCAGGTGCAGGATGTTTTGGTGCTATGCGTATATGTGATGTTGTCTATTTACAAGTTTTCATTATTGCGCTTTTTCCGTCAGTGTTCAAGTAGAAATTGTATGTTTCTATATGTTGGGGAGTTTGTATGACTGTTTTTTTCATTTATTAGGATGATGCATTCCGCCCCTCGTTCAGTCTTAGGTTGTTTCAGGATTTTTCGTCTGTGGGTGATGGATTGTCGCAGGATTTGCCTTCCCAATGTGGGGACGTGGTGGATGCAATTGTTCGTGAATATAACGCACATTCAACGAATGTAATGCCTCGGGGGTGGTTTTCGGCCCCATGTGATGCAGTAAGTATGGTTGGATACGTTCCGATCGTTTTTAAATATAATTAATATTGGTGCTACTCGTGCGGTTTTCGTTGGACGTACAGACTTATTGGTCTGTGCGTATGCTTATGGGGTTTAACCAGCGTCATTTATCATTTCATTTCTGGTTGTAGGTCTGTGCACCCGGCACTCTTTTGTCTGGTGCTCGTGTTACTGGTTCACTTGGCAATGATGTTCGCGGTCGAGGTGTAACTAAACGTCTTCGTCCAGAGGGTGTTAATGTTGGTGCTGTCACCCTCTTCACTCCTGGTGAGGTATGTTGTGCAATGTCGTTACCATTTCTCCAATATCTGTTATTCTATGTGGAATTATTATTTTGTTACTCATGGTGGTAGTTGGGATCTTTTTGCTGTGCAGCGTATTCGTCCAGGGATGCAGCCCGATAGCACCATAACTGATTCAGAACGTTGCCGTGCACCATCAAAGTAGTCCCGGCAGCCGTTCGATAATGTTCGCGCGTTGAGAACTCTTGACTTGAATTCATACGAACATCGGACACGCTCACGTGCTGTACACATTCAACATGCGTAGGGTCCTGTTGCGCAAGACGTTTACGATTGGATTGCTAGATCTGGGCGTGCTGACATGTATTACCGTTGAGATAACTTGATTTTTTTTCCCAATCTTTATGCGCGATATGATGATCCTCATTCTTTTGGGGTTTTGTAAACAGTGATGAGGAGCTGTTTCTTTGGTGTGGTCGGTCAGCACGCCAGGCTGAGTTTATGTCTCTGTTGGAAGGTAATGAAGTGCTAGTTGGCATATTAAATGCGTGGACTTGTGTGTTATCTTTTAGGGAAAGGTCAAAGGTTGCTGGTGAACCGTCCAGACTCTTCGTCTCCACATTTACTACAGTTTGTCTCTAGTTGTAATTTTTTATCTCTTGATTTTCCATGGTCCGGTGTTTAGATTTTGGGTTATTTTTTAACATTGTAGTTGTACACTGTGGTTGATGTTTCGGCTCCTCGTGGTAGTCGCTTACAGTGGTTTACAGATAGCATGCAGGACGAGTTGAAGTTGTCTCCTTATAATTTGTGGCATGATATAGACATGGTTTGTGAACTTTGTGTTCATTCGGAGACTGCGCATCTGCCATCCTATATTTTTTAAAATGAGTTTTGTTGCATTTCTTTGTGCTGCAGTTGTTTTTCCCTATACTTCAGACGCAGCACTACTACATCGTGTTAGTGGATTTCAGGCGTATGTGTTTTGACGTTATTGATAATTCGTCCGCGGATGATCCGTCGCTCAACAAATATGGTCATACCCTTAGGGTGTTGGTATGTGCAGTCGATGCATGTTCTTTTTATTTGTTATATTCCTTCATTTTTCTAGGTTTCCCCCAGTAATTTATGTTTCTGTTGTTTGCGTTTTAAATGTTTCGGGGGTTTCTGTAGCATGATTTGCTGACCGTTTTCTTTGAGGATGTGGGGGTGATCGCAGTGTATCTGAAGGCTGCAAAATTGGTTCCTCGTAGAGTTCGGTTACCATGGCGGGATGCAAAGAACAAAGTGGATTGCGACGTGTTTGCCATGCGTCACATGGAGTGTTATGTTGGCCAAGCGTATTCTTCATGGGATTGTGGGCTCCGTAGGGGTGATGCGCGTGCCTTACTTGAATTACGCGTTCGGTACATGTTTGATATTTTGTTGTTCCAACGCAACACGCATAGGACCGCGAATGTCGCCCGTGTTAAGAGCTCGTATGCTGCTGGTCGTTGAAGGACGTTCATTTATTTTAATTTTTTTTTACATTATTTCGAATCTTCTAATAATGTGTTGTTAGACGCCTGCTCCCCTTTCCCAGTTGTTGGTGGTATTTTTTGGATTTCCACGTAAACATTTTCGTAATAATGATGTTCCTTCATGTTCCATGTATTTTACTTGCGGGTGTACAAATCTCACTATCCATGCACATGCCTACAATAAGATCACGCACAGGCTTTTATGTTTTTTTTTTTTAAATGGTGGCATTACACAAATACTAATCCACCATCCATTTTTTCATTAGTTCATCAACGTAACCCGACGCTTTCCATTCAGATTATAATTATTAATCCATCTATTTCTGAATTTATAAATTTTTAATTGGATTTGTTTTATGGGACTTCACGGTAACTTTATTCGGTTTTCGGATGTGTCCTACAACAACACCCAAATCTGTTTCTGGTTTGAAAAACTCATTGTCTACGCACATGCTTAGTTTACAATCACGCACATGTATTTTTTTTTTTTTGTTAAAAACAATTTTTATTTTAGAAATCTGTGTGTGGCATTTCGCAAAAAGTACTCCCACATCCATTTATCCATCATCGAACCACCATGGTGTTAAACTCTTTTTCTCAATAAAGTATTAACTATTCTAGACTCCATAAATGTTAATGGATGATTGCGTACAGTAGCTATACACATGCGGCTATACGCTCACTCCATGCCTGCCGTTCACGCACGGTCCTTGTATTTTTTATGTTTGATTGTTACTGGAAATTCGTGGACCAGGTCTGCCAGTTATATTTAATGAAAATGTTTATTAACTCGTTATTCCATAATAACGTCAAAACAGTTGTGCACAAACTAACATTTAGAATTATTATACTATTTCTATTTGTTAGGGCAGCTTCGACTGTTGTGGCCGGTTGCGAGTCCACATGTTTTACATGTTCGTTTCTTCTTATTTTTCTCCTTCATTGCGATTCTTTAGCCGTCCTCATTCGCTTTCCCGAACCTTTGGTACTTGATACTGCGGGGGGATGCACGGTGATTGAATCAGGTGTCGGGGCACCACAGAATGTCTCTTTGATGGATCGTTTCCCTTTATCTACAACCCCCCCGTCTTCACCGTTGGTGCACCATGTGGACTCGATCTCCTTTAGCGCATTGCTGATTTGTTCTAACTTTGTGACATCCCCTTGCGCCATGGCTATACACCTGTACAATGTGTTAAGCACGTTACTTTCTTCTTTGTTGCCTCGTGCTGTATGGTTGCCACGCTGAAGCGTATCATTGCAAGTTTTGATTGGTGAATTCGTTAGTGCGGTTCGTGTCCAGCGGGGGGGTGATATGTTGCGGGGTATATCCCCGTTCCTGTCATATATTAGCACTGCAAACGCATGGCTGCACAATAGTCCAATTCGATTGTACATTCGGCATTCGCAGGTTGTCGTCCTTGTCCCATTTTCAACAAACACCGTGTATCGTATCTCGTGCTCATCCTCGACCTCATATGTGTTCCCGGCCTCACCGTGTGCGACAGCACGCACCCGGCATTCAAAACATCCGGCACATATCTCCTTCTGCACATCATAAAACACAGTTAATGTATACAGTGATGCTGCCGCTCGCTCGATGCGCAGTTGGGTCTTGTAGGGGGTGTTTGTGCAATGCTGGCACCGCTTAGCTCGGTCTGTGTTAGGCGTTTCTTTCTAATTGTACTCTCTATCCTGTTAAAAAATTCCGAAACACAAAGATGTTTGTTAGTGTTGCTTCTGAAAATCCGGTTCTCTGCTTCAGAGCGTGAGGTTGTACGCACTAGCCCACCCATAAAAACGCCTTCAAAACATGCAGGGATCCACGATGCGCGCTCGTCATACATACGGTTCAACCATGGATTTTCCATTAAGCCAAATTTTTGTATAACTCCTTTCCATGCAACTTCAAATTTGGCGGTAGTCAAGCTGTCGTTCCAAACAACATCATTCAGCTCTCGTCGGAATGCTTCATTTTTGGCTAATTCAGGACTCACTTTATCACCAACCTTCGCCATTATATGCCACATACAGTAACGGTGGCTAGTTTCTGGGAATTCTCTCGCAATTGCAACCTTCATCGCCGGGTCTTGATCGGTTACTGTGAGTGGTGGTGTGCTTCCCATTACGTTTTTGAAGTTCCTTAGTATCCAACAGTACGAGTCAACATCCTCTCGAGCAATTAGTGCTGCTGCGAATGTTACGCATTTTTTATGGTGGTCTATCCCGGTGAATGGGACAAACACGAGGCTGTACCTGTTGCATGAGGAAATTTGTTAACTACTACGCATATAATGCACAGTATGTTTTACACCATATAATGATCAGGGTTACATATTATGTATAGCAACTATAAAAGCCAGGCTTACATACAATGAAATCAAATTTCCATAAATTTTTTAGCATATTACGGTAACAATTCATCTGAACCATTCGTATCCAGATCAACGCCATGCACAGGCTACTGACCTTATACGCACTCCAGTACGTTTAGCAACACGTACACGCACCAACGTTACAGTTATACGCATGTAACAACATTAACATAGGGGTGTATATGTAAGGGAGTTTTGCATTCCGTAATTGAGGAGCGTACCTGTTAGTTTTGTACGTGGCATCAAATGACACAACATCCCGAAAAACACTATATTGCTTTCTTGCCATACCATCTGCCCAGAAAACACACGCCAACTGGTCATTCTCGTTTGCCTCGTATTCGAAATACATATCGTCATAGTCAGATTTCAGATCGAGGTACTTGGATATCAGCATTTGTGCATCTCCTCCTTGCATGTACACCAAAATCTCCCTTCTATAGTTCTTGAAGTCTTGTTGTGTCGCTCCCACGTTTTCAACTCCACCCACCATCTCGGCGTACAGGTCATGACTTTTACTAGCCCCAATATTGACTTTTGAGCAGTCCCGATGAATTGTTGGTGGCCAATATCTAGTTTCTTGTTCAACTTCAAGAAAGGTTTGTAGCTCTCCTTGCACAAGCAGTGAGTGTGCCCCTCTTCAAACTTCTTGACCACGTACCTTCCCGCGCTGTCTCTTCTGAAAACTATTTTGGCCATGCACCCAACTCTGTTAGACGGGCGCCGTCGTTTTGTTTGTGTGGTGGTATTCTGTTCTGATGGGTTGTTCGGTTTTGCATCTTTAAACCCTTCACGATTACACACTAGTTTCTTTTTCAGGATGATCCCGTACTTGTTTTTTATGTCGGAACTTTTGCACACATCAAACCCAGTCACGGATGTATATGTTTTGTAGTACGCGAAGTCGTCTTCCAATGTAGAAAACACCTGGTCGACAGCTGGTTTTATCGATGGGTCACATGCCGTAACCCAAATGTTCGTACCGTTTTGGGATTCATCCATAACACAGTGTTGGCGTTTCTCTCCTTCTTCCATGATTATCTCACCTGCGTAACGATTAGCAATTTCACCACGTTATTATGTATGTCTAAACTTTTTGTAGTTGCATTTTTAAACCATAGCAGAACACACGCCCCCAATACGTCCTTTTTTAGTCCCTTCATAAGCTAACAATTTAATAAACACAAATATCACATTGTTGTCGAATTAATTTAGGCATAGTGCACAAAGATACAACCTACAATGCAACCACCATTACGCCCGGTTTTCTCCCACCCCGTATACTGACATGCTACCATGCAACAACCACCACCACCGTAATTTAGACGTCGTGCCCAAGGCTTCATACTACCATGCAACCAACCATGTAAAAAACAACTCAATAAACACAAAAACCACATTGTGGACGAATCAATTTAGTGTTCTGTAATTACGAATATTGAGTTTTGTAATTGTGAATATTGAGTTATGAAATTGTGATTATAGAGTTCAAAACTTGTGAATATAGAGTTCAAAAATTGTGTTATACTGTTGATTTACTTGTGAATATTGTGTTCTATAATTGTGAATATAGAGTTCTGTAATTGTGAATATAGAGTTATGCAATTGTGAATATAGAGTTCTGTAATTGTGAATATAGAGTTCAAAAATTGTAAATATAGAGGGCAATTTTTTTTAAATTCAGAAGGCGTCGTTTTGTTAAAATGACACTGTTGTGGACCCCTGTCCACAGTATAATTGGGGCACTTCGTGGGTTAGAATCCAGCCCAAAGCCCAAGAATGATAGAAGGTCTGGACTGAAAATCTTGTGTGCACATGAAGACTAGGTCTGATTGGTGAGCTAATTGCGCGGTTTGAATTAGATCCCTTGTGCACGCATGAAGAATAAGACTCGCGATTTACTTCCGCAGTGACTCTTGGGGCGGGGTCCTATAGATTTAAGATTAGTTCGGCAAAATTGAGATAACTTTTTTTTTTCAACAAAAAAAAAAAAAAAAAAAAAAAAAAAAAAAAAAGGAAAAAGAAGTTAAACAATGTTTATGTTTCATGATATGATGCACGTCGTTATGTACGTCAATCTATAGTGTAAGATATATTAAATATAATATATTTAATATAATATATATATTAAATATAATATAATATATCTATAAGATATATTAAATATAATATATTTATATATATTGAGAGAGAGAGAGAGAGAAAGAGAGAGAGAGAGAGAGAGAGAGAGAGAGATGAATACTTGTAATTCAATTGATGATTAAAACGATTGAATACATAGCCTATTTATAATAAATTTAGATAGGAATAATGCTAAAAACTAGGGAATGCATGTAAGTACTACTCCATGTACTGCCATTATTCCATGTACTAAGCAACTACATGCCACCCACTACTTGATTTAATTAACAACCTAATTAAGCCTTGGTTTAACAATTATATAATAATATTATTATAACATTGCCTCTTTTAAACCAAGTTGGATATATTATTGGTCATTCCAATTTCTTTCTTCAATTTGAGAAATGTCTCTGTCTTCAACGGTTTCGTAAAGATATCTGCAACTTGACATTCACTTGAACAATACTCAATGTTGATTTGTTTTTCAGCAACCAACTCTCTGATTTTGTGATACTTGATATCAATATGTTTGCTGCGACCATGAAAGACTGGATTTTTGGACAACGAAATTGCTGACTTGTTGTCACAAAAAATAGTTGTAGGTGGTTCCTGCTCGTGTGGTAAGAACTCCAAAATTCTCCTCAGCCAAACTGCTTGAGTAGCACAGTTTGCTGTTGCAATATATTCTGCTTTTGCGGTAGAAAGTGCTACAATCTGCTGCTTCTTTGACGACCAAGAAAATATAGCTGAACCAAGATAGAAGGCATATCCTGATGTGCTTTTTCTGGTCTCAATATCTACAGTCCAATCACTATCTGTGTACCCATCAAGCTTCACAACTTCATTAGTAGAGTAAAAAATTCAATCATTACTTGTACCTTTGACATATCTCAAAATTCGCTTTGTTGTAGCCCAATGTGATTCTTTTGGTTCCTCCATGAATCTGCTAAGTATTCCAACTCCAAAAGAAATATCTGGCCTTGTTGCGACCAAATACCTCAAACTCCCAATTAAGCTTTTATAAGTTGTAACATTCACATTCTCACCACACTCATCTTTGGAAACCTTTAACTTTTAAGCTAACGGCGTTGAAACTGGTTTGGAGTTTTCCATTTTGAACTTTTTCAAAATATCAGCAGCATACTTCTATTGTGAAATAAAGATTCCACCATCCATTTGAACAACCTCAAGGCCAAGGAAGTAAGCCATAAGGCCCATATCAGTCATTTCAAATCTCTAAATGAGTGCCTCCCTGAATTCTGAGAATAGCTTCAAGTTGTTCCCAGTAAAAACCAGATCATCAACATACAGACAGATTATAACAATATCACCAGAATCCGTGCATTTGACATACAAAGTGTGTTCATGAGGACATCTCATAAAACCACTTTCAACAAAATATGAGTCCATGCAACCATACCACACCCTAGGTGTTTGCTTTAAGCCATACAAGGCTTTTCTCAACCTGTATACTTTATGTTCCTCCCCTTTCTTCACAAACCCTGCAGGTTGCTCAACATATATTTCTTCTTCAAGAAAATCATTCAAAAAAGCAGACTTGACATCCATTTGATGCAATTTCCAATCATTTTGAGCAGCAAGAAAAATAACCATTCGAACTGTATCAAGTCTACTTACAGGAGAAAAAATCTCAAAATAATCAATACATGGTTTCTGCTTGTAACCTTTTGCTACCAACCGTGCCTTAAAACGATCAATTTCTCCATTTGACTTGTATTTCGTTCTGTAAACCAACTTTACTCCAATTAGCTTCTTTTCAGGAGGTAAATCTGTTAATTCCCAGGTACCATTCTTTTCAATGGCACGTATCTCCTCATCCATCGCCTTAAGCCAATGAGTTTCTGTAGTAGCCTCCTCAAAAGATAAAGGATCACAATCTGCAAAAAGCGCAAATTGAACAATCTCTTCATCAGACAGGTCATTATCATGACCCAAAACATAATATTGTAAGTGAGCTGGTAAGTGGCGCTCGCGTTGAGATCGTCGAACTGACGACTCCGGCTGTGAAGGAGACTTGACATTATCTAGAATCGGTTGCTCATTAACAATATTTTCAACAACAGGAATAACAACTGAACTTTCATCTTTAGCTAACTAATCCCAGGCACCATATTCATCAAAAGTGTCATCACGACTTATAACAACCTTTTTAGTTTCAGGATTATATAGCTTATAAACCTTGGAAGCGTCACAATAACCAATGAATACGCACTTCTCACCTTTATCATCCAACTTCTTTCTCAATGGATCTGGCACATGTGCGTATGCCAAACATCCGAAAACCTTGAGATATTTGATAGAGGGTTTTCTCCCACTCCAAGCTTCTTCGGGTGTCTTATCACGGACACTTTTAGTTGGACACCTATTCAACACATAGACAGCACAAGCAACAGCTTCTGCCTAAAAAGGCTTAGGCAGATTCTTAGATTTCAACATGCATCTTACCATATCCATGATAGACCTATTCTTCCTCTCAGCCACTCCATTTTGTTGTGGAGTGTATCTAGCTGTCATCTAGTGTTGGATACCCTTCTTCTTCAGAAAATCATCACAGGCAATATATTCTGTACCTCTATCAATTCTCAAGATTTTAATCTCATAACCATTTTGCTTTTCAACAAAAGGCTTAAATTGTTTGAAAACATCACATGCTTCAGACTTTTGCTTCAGAAAGTAAACACATGTTTTCCTACTGAAATCATCAATGAAATTAATAAAGTACTTTCAACCTCCATGCGAGGGAACCTCCATCGAACACAGGTCTGAATGAACAATCTCCAACTGTTTTGTGGCTCTCCTTGACTTGCCCACGGGGAAGGGACCTCTATGCTTCTTCCCAATCACACAAATCTCACAGATACGATCAGGGACATTCACAACAGGTAAATCAAAAACAAGTTCCTTTCTCGTAAGATAGTTTAACCCAGAGAAATGAAAATGCCCAAACCGCATATGTCATAACCAATTATCATCACAAACTTCATAATTAAAGCAAGTTAGGAGAGTATGCTTAATTTTCAAAGGAAATAGTCGATTTTGGAACATATTTATCTTTGCAATCAAAACTCATTTAGCATCTGCAATTGTACAACACCCTTGAGTAATATTTATCTTATGTCCTTTTTTCTGACAATTGTCCCATACTCAACAAATTTTGGTGTAGTTCAGGAAAATAAAACACATCAGATATAAAATTGTGAGTACCATCCTTCACCTGAATAGAGCTTTTACCTTTTCCCAAAATTAGCACTTTTGACTTATTGCCAAATATCACTTCAGACCGGACTGATTTATCCAGTTCAGAAAACAATTATTTCTTCCCACACGTATGGTTACTACACCCAGTATCCAAGAACCATATGTTTTTATCTGCAAAAAAACTATCGCTGGCCAAAAGTAAGGTTTCAGAACTCTCACCAGACTTTTCAATAGTATTTTCAGCAATGTTTGCTTGATTTCCACGATTGTCTCATTATACTAGCAATCTGCAATCTTGTGTCCATACTTGCCACAATTGTAGGAATGAAATGGAAATTTACCTTGTTTGGTATTACCTCCACCTCTTCCTTGGTTGGAGTTACCACGTCCTCCTCCTTGGTTGAAGTTACCACGACCTCTTCCACTAGAACCTCCTCTTCCTCTTCCACAACCTCTACCACATCCTCCACCTCTTTGATTAGTGCCAGTCACATTAGGGTTACTTGACTCTTCAAAGCTTCTTCAGCTAGTGGTTCCGATTTTGACACAATTCTGTCAATATGACTTTCTACCATACCTTTCAGCTCTGCAATTGATAAGAGCTCGGTTTTGTGTGACCCTGTGATCGAAGCCACCACATGGTCATACTTCATCGGCATAGTTCGTAGAACTTTTTCAACCACTGAACCGTCTTC